ATATTTTAGGTTGAAATTGAAACATACGAAAAATCTGCTAGAACGCGAATGACATTAAACATAATTTATCATCGTTTAAGGGTTAAGAATAAAAAAATTATTAAAATTAATTAAATTAAAATAGCCATGAACACCTCAATTTTTTTTCTCATTGGCGCGATTATAAATGAATAACATTTCAGAAATAAAAAAAGCTGCCCAAGTGCGAGTCGGACTTGTGCACAAAGGGTTCCGTACCATTAGTATTTGTTGTTATAGCGGCTACAGAAATAAATCTGTGAAAATTTTTAACTATCACGGTTTGTGATACAAGCCTTAGTGACAGACGGACAGGATGTCTTAGTAATGGGGTCCTGTTTTACCCCTTGGGTACGGAACCCTAAAATATATCATATGGTTATCTTGTCATGTGGGTGAAGACACAATATTAATTTCGTTCCACTGCTAAAATGCGTGTAAATAAAAAAAAAGTTGTAATAAACCAAAAATATTTTTATATTTAACGTAGAAGTGTTAAAGGTTATATTTAATAAGGTGAGATAGTAGCCGGATGAGACCCTCAACTTATGGCGATGACGGTCGCGAGTTCAATTTGTCAAGATTCAACTATCTATTCAAAGACATATCAATCAATCAAGTATACATTATATAAATAGGTGTTACAATAAAGTATTCAGAATCTTACATGAATATGGCTTACAGAACTAGTTTTATTTATGTTCTTGCATAATTTGAGTTGTTTACAAAAAGATGTAGAAGTGAGTCACGTGGGTGCTCATTATTTATATACTAGCTGAACGGACGTTTATAAATATCTCCTACTAATAATACAACAGTGCTACAATTTTAGGCTAGGGAAGTCTAACAAAATAAAACTAAGGGTACATATAAAAATATTTTATTAAAAACATTTTGGTAACATTTAATAAGAACACTTAGGTAAAAATAAATCGACCTCAAAATTATTTCAAAAGAACAGCCTGGACTGGAAGTTCACGGAGGAAAGCCGGAACAGCAAAAAAAACTAAAATAAATAAAAACAATGATAACACTCTAGGCAGACATGTCTAATTGACAACCAGAATTAAGGCATCGCAAGAATAATTATTTTAAGTACGATAAAATACCTACGGCTAATATTATATTATATAGTTACAACAAATAAACTTGTTTATCGTATCGTTTAGTTGTGTACGCGTAAGGCGTTGCACGGGCGAATCGAAACAAAGCCCTTACACGCAGTCTCTTGGCAGGGAACTTACTTCGAGTATTATTGCCCACTAACATTATTTCACTTCACTCACAAGACGAGTTTGCTTGTCACTACGCCGTAAATATACACTACTAAATACTAAAACATCCCAATTATATGCAGCTATATTAAAATTTTACCTAACTAATAATAATATTAACATCTTCGGCTAATTTTGATACTAGAATGATATAACATCATCTCATATTGTACTCTTAACATTACGCTGGATTAAATTAAAGTGAGGAATTAAATATGTTATACATAATATTGCAAGCATTACTGAGATTGTGCACATTACGTAAGTTCATTAGGAGTAACGTATGAAAACTTAAGTGTTAAGGAAGATAAGATTGCTTATACTGAAGTCGTTAAACATTGAGTGAGCTCGCCTCCGCGGATCCGAGCTCTCCCAAAACAGCTATATTAAAGGAACAGTCAAAGATTAAATTACGAGCATTGGCACTTTCAATATTAAATCTTAATTACACACTCGAAATAACACTGCATATCAATAACCAACTTAAAAACTAAATTCAGATCAGTCATTTATGATATCACATCAAAATAAACAGGGAAATACATAATATGTGATTATTGATTGGATATACTATACAATATATATTTTATTCTTTTCAAAAGAGGTATTAATTTTCTTAAGGGTTACTATAATATTGAGCTCAGCGCCGCGCGGGACGCACTATATCACGATAACACGAGAACAACATTGAACCAATGAGTTTTGGTACTTGGGAGTTTGTCTCCGAGTTAATTCTATTTCGCTAAACCTACATAATGCTTATCAGATATACGTAATACACGCTGGGCTTACGACCGCATGCAGAGCCGCGAAGCCACGGGAGCATGACGGCCACTAAGCCAAGGCAAAAACCCTTCATCCTTATACAATTCTCTTTACAAAAATACTGTCATTTGACTACAGTTCAATGAGAAAAAATATTTTATCATAAATATGAATGAACCATAAAAGAGATATATAATACAACAGATAATAGGTATAATATCATGTATAATGATTTGACTAAACAAAATAAAATGCATAAAATTGAAATGATTAAAACATTATAAAATCACTTAAAACACTTAGCAATTGGAAGGTACTAAATTGATTATTTCGGAAAAAAATTCATTCAATGAAATAAATAGCACAACAACCAAAATATTTGGCAATGTGGATTATAACATAAAGATTAACAACTATGATCCTCCGGTGCTAACCTAAACACAAAACTGGAATGCAAATATTGCATCGCACCTCGGCCTCTAGTTCACATGGGCAGAAGCGACCGACCGGTAGACTGCAGTCGCAGGGGCCCAACCAACAGGGATATCAGACTAAAATTAGGGACATATTCACAACAAGAGCTATCTTAAAAACTGTGCGTATCACTCCCAAATACTTTCCTTTGAACTACATTCGAAGCTTTGTCATATAATAAAGTTATCAACTAAAAATAATCTGAATGCAACATTGGATTTAAAATAACCATAACAACCATTTTGTGAGTATGTGTGACTGAGGATATAGCACACTATGTATGCAGAGACATGTCTAAACAGTGTTTAGGAGTGTCTCTCCTAGGCAATGATTGATAAAATTGATAGTTATAATGTAAACCTTAGCTGCATTCTGAGATCCATGCTATATGTTCAGTCATGACTCACTGAAACTATACAATAAATATTTAAATAATTTTTGTAACAAGTTTGCCTAATTTTTATGATATCTAAATACAATCTTCATAGCCCAATATATTAATAAATCAAATGTGTGGTGATGACTTAAGATAAAGCCCTTGATAAAATGCAACATTAATTTAAAACCATGACATATCTGAAAAATTATGCTCCATGATTTTTTTTTAAATTATAAGAACAGAACTCAAATCAATGCATGGATGTTGGTCCCTTCCAAATATTCATCATACCTTTAGCGAAGTCCATATCAATATAAAGAAAAACTTTGAAAACTACATACTGTATTGTCACATATCAACATTTTTTTATAAAAATAACTTTGTGGGAAATATTATGTCAACAATATTGTGTACAAATACTCCAGTTTCAATTTAAAGCTGATCACAACATAGCAGAACTAAAGTTGCACAAAAGGACAGTATCAAGTATTATTATAATAGTTAGTATGTTACACATTACTTACATATAATTGAAGAGACTCACACTAATAAATATCTTGACTAAATTAGGAGACCATGGATATTAATTACATTTTAATTATGCATGTACATAGAGATATTGCCAGTCTGTTAATGACACTTATTATAATTTCACTAGAAGCCCAGCATCTGGGCAAATCAATGACTCGAACGTTTTAAAACGGTCTGTAACAACTACTAATACCTTAAAATATCTAATCACTGCAATAATTTGTGATGATATGCACTGATAACCCATCTTGACTATGTTTATTATGGGCTTGTCATATGAAGTAAATGAATTTGAAGCTTTTTGAGTTGATAGGAATTTGATTTTTGGGCAATGTATCAAGATCATATCCTCTAGATTATGTCATCACTATTATTATGTTATGCTCGGACGGTAAATCTAACAATAATAAATATACCTTACGAATTAACCTACAGCCAGACTTCAATTCATGCCATCTCGTCAAAACTGTAACTTATCATAACATGAGACAAGCAGCCTTTTGGTTTAAACAATGAAAATCTATTGATTAATGACTGTGGAATATATCAAAATCATTATATCTAGACCCTAAAGATTATTGTAAAACAATATTTAAATAATAACTGTTACATATAATGGTGGGAATAATTAACTCATTATGATCATAAAAGTAAAGGTCTATAATTTAAATATTGCTTTAAACTTATTTGGGCACAAAATCCAATGATTGAAGAGATCAACCAATTGTATTTTACACTATTTCATATAAATTGTGAAGAATAACAATTTATAGATAATATAATATGCTTATTAAAACAAATAGATTCTTTGGATAACAAATCATTAACAATTCTAAAAGGAACTAAGTATAGCATAATATATTAATATATTTTTTAGTTATTATTGATATAAAGTTGTAAGAATTGAGTGCATAAATGATTAAAGCAGTTATTCTATAGGGGATATTTATGCCAAATTTAAGTTATTTGTATTTTTATGGCATGCTATTTATAATATATTAATTAAGCCTAACCATATCACACAATCAAATAAGTTAAAACAAAACGAAGTAATTTCTATTGTCTCATATTTCACAGAAATTTTTCTAAAATTGCCTTGTTTAAATTAAGATCACAGTATTAAGTCACGTTAACAAAATGTAACACTACAAAATATATGGGACGATAAGCACAAATATTCCACAGTCATCAGTAGAACTGGGCCACAGCAGTGAGGCATAAATAGTATTAGAAGAATGTCATTAAATCAACAACTTAGTTCCAAGAGGAGGAACTGCAATGATTTGGTCAAATTATTAGTTTACAACTACATCCTAAATGTAAAGCAATTAAGACTAAGTGAAATATATAAACTCCCTTGTTAGGAAATAGTAGCATCATATCATTTCTATGTAAATGATAAGTCGTCATTAAGGGAACTTAGTAGTTGATTTATTGGATGGGTATGGCAACTTAAGCACCAATCTGAAGATACAAGTCAACATGCACCCTGATGTGTCCCAGTCATACCCATTCAACATTTGTTTGTTCAGAATTTATGGTGATACATTGTCACATCAATCTGTGGCAGCTACAACCCATGTAAATCCGCACGTGCGGCAAGTGTCTTTTACGTACTGTGTGCGTGTTCCAAATGGCCCCAGTCGATGATACTGGGAGCGGTTGGCAAAGAATAATGCCGGGTTATTCGGTGGTAGTACTGTAGCGCGGTAATTCCATCGAGCATCGGTAAGATTAGCCATCAGGTTGAGAATATCACGTTCTTCATATTTAACTTTGACATCATCAACCGTCTGCTCCTTTGGACGTGGCTGAGGTTGCACGAAAGGTTCGAATATTTTCTGTAACGATAAAAGAAACTATTAAAAAAAGATGTTTTAAGTACCTACCTACAGTTAATACAATGATAAATATCATCGACGAAGTGTTAATCAAATTAAGATTAATAGTGTATCAATTATTTATTTAAAATTAAATTTGATGTACTTTTTTAACATACTTCATTTCAATCATCGCCAATGATCAGCAAAATCTTCCACTATCAAATGTCATTTGTACACAATATTGTTAGCGTAAGACATTCGCCATTACAGAATATTATGAACATAGAGAGGTCAAGGCCAGGACAATTACAAACAAACTGGCTAAAATTAAGGATAACGCTCACCTTCTCTGTTGTTTGAGGGCTAGAAGGCAAGGAGTCACTATTGACCGACTCCGATTTTAGCGAACCCAACGAACCTATACCGCTAGATTCACTAGAGACAGATGGACTCGGACTTGTCTGCGACTGAGACAAGCCCGCTATGTCTATGAACGAGCGGAACGAGTTAAAATTCTCTGTCTCCAATCCAGTTAGAGGTAGAGCAACACTCAGAGCCATTTCTGCAAATGGAAAATCATAAATGTACTGTAATTACACGTGCATAAACGCCACTGCTTACGAACATTAATTATTAGTTCTGTTGACAGTATACAACGCGCCAAATTAAACCAGACGTAATACACACAAATACAACACACTCACCTTAGACTAGAATAGATATATAAAATAGTTAAACTGCACTGTATTAAAAAGAGCAAAACAATAATTACCGAAAAGCGGAATCTCCAAAAGTACAAGCCTCGACGTAGTTAAAACAGATCGAACATTTATGAAGTGAAGCTAGCTGCAAGTCAGTTTGCGTTGCGTGATGTCTTCTAGCGGCAAGCGGAAATGGCTCGAGGTCGGTAAAACAGTCTATTACGCAGCAAGTTAAAACTTTACATCTTATTTTTACGCTTTATTAGACAGGGTTCATAATTTATATTCGAAAATTTCTTTAGGGAAACTCTATTTTATTTTGAAGTAAAAATGGGAAATGTGTAATATTAATCTGAAATGTGATGATAATCTGAAAATTATTTCTATTATACTTGTTTTATTAGCGCCCTCTCTTTACATTAGATCTAAAGTGTAGCGAGTGAAATTCGTTTAGTTCGCAGTATTTTTCATAGATGGCAGCGTATTCTCAAGCACATTCGCCCGTTATAGTTCACAATGAAGAGTGTAGATGGCGGTTTCATAATTTTGCTTTACTTTTGAACATTTGTATGCATGAGTATATTATACCTATATAAACAGTCAGTTTTTCCATCAGATTATAATGTAACTTATAAAAAAAATCCAGAGAAAATAGGCTTTCATAGAGCTAGAGTTCTCGAAGAATTACATCTTTTATAGCCAGGTGTGATAGTAGTTAAGCAAGTGTCGATTTTTGGTTAAAAAAATAATTGTTCTTTTTCCATTTTCTAAAGTTAAGTGATTGTTTCTGAATTCTTTAGATTTTAATGTAGCTTGAGAAAAACTTACTTTAAAAAAATTTTTTTTGATGGTCTGTAATAAGTTGAGGTAATAAGTTTTTTTTAAATCTAAATAGCCAATATGTGGTCAAGTGCAACTTATTCTGACAAAAGAGAGACTGACTTGTGGAGTGAATTCGATCCCAACTACTGGAAAAATATTGTGTGATAAACATAATGTTGTTGTAGTGTCGGTGTGTTTATATATCAATAATATGTATTTATTTATCAAAATGAAGTGGTTTTATCAGTTACCTATAATATAATACTTAGGGCATAGTTTGGGACAAGAGAGAGAATAAACGGAGCAGAAGAAAATACCCCTCAGCATAAGTCTTCTGGAACTTTTGGGAATTCGCTTTTTGCTGGTCGATATTACATTCATTATATCTGAGATTAAATTAAGAACAGAAAAGTCGTTGCCATAATATTCGTTCAAGGTATGGCTACTTACTAGACACGAATACTAGAAACAAACATATATAAATCTTTTATAAAAAAAAGTAAATTAACAGCCTATACATGTCCCACTGCTGGACAAAGGCCTCCTCTATACAGAGGGTATCAGGGCATAATCCACCACGCGGCCCCACTGCGGATTTGTGGACTTCACATATCTTCGAAATATATATTTTTTTGTTATTATTTCGAAAATATTCAGGTTTCCTTACAATGTTTTCCTTCAACGCGGAGTACGTGATAAGTTAGCACTTAAAGTTAAAAACTTCATTGGTGCCGGCACCGGGGATCGAACTCAGGTTGCTCGAGTATATTGAATTAAAGGCGAGCGCCCGGACACTGAGCTATCACGGCTCTTTTAGTAGGGCTCTTGAAGTAAATCTTTTATAGGGAAAAATAATATGTATACGTTTTTACAACAAAATACTAGAAAACGTTCAAAATGAATCAGTTGCTAACTTTAAAAAACTTGTTATGGGACGTTTGTGTGTTAGAGGCCATTATAATATCTGTGACTATTTAAATGCATTGATCGCTCCAGGCTTTTTTAAGTAATATATTGTAATTGTATTGTTTATATACTGTAAATGCTTTTTTGTCAAATTATTTTAAAAAAGTTTGTCCCACTGAGTTTCTTTCGCCGGTTCTTCTCAGGTCAGTAGCTTTTTTTCCGAACCAGTCGTTGTGTATTTGACAATCAGTAAATAAGTGTAGGTAATGCTTCTATATTGAATTAAAGCTTATTAGGTAAGAATTTAAATTTGTTACCTACTCATAACGGCACCGTATGTGATTTTTCTAATACACGAATGTACGTCGTTATTAAAAAACAGTCATTAATTGTAATTGTAATTATAGTAATTTGACAATTTGGTCCATTTTATTGTAATTGATGGCCTAGTGGTTGCTCGCTAATGGTTTTAGACTGTGGTTGCATTGTAGCTGTACCCTTGTTTTTCCTTTCTGAAATATTTTCGTTAAAGTATCGATTTGTTGTGAAAATTTAAATGTAAGCTATTAATAAGATTTTAGTGCGAGCTTAAACTTGACAATTTTCGTAATGTCTCCAATTGTCATATTTCTACCATTTATCGTAATGTGATTCTTTAGTCCTTAAAAATATTTATGTAGTGTGACTCTTTTTACCGAGAACCGGTGTAAAAAAACTTCCTACGGTTGATATTTGTACGCAAAAGTAGCTTTTGTAAGTTATATATTTCGATTTTTTTTAATGTATAGTTTAATTTTTTTATATTTTTTTATTTTTATTTTTTTTAATCTATAGTTTAATTTTTAATGTTCATCACACAATATTTTTCCAGTAGTGGGGGTCGAACCCACACACTCTGGCGCAGGAGGCACGTACACGACCCACTAAGCCATTCGGGTCGTCAAAATTTTAACATACAATATGAAATTAATCATAGCGTATCTTATACTGTGAAATAAAACTTTAATTATCAACTTTCTGCCGTAGACACCATGTTCGTCACGGCAACAGCGATAACATAACATTTTAGTCCGTATCGCTTTAGCTCAGCAGTGGCAATGCGGCTCCGTGTCGCGTCCGCATAATTTGTAAATCTTACACAGCCACTTAGAGCGTCCGTTCAATAAAATAATAATAGTAAACATCCGTGCAAATGGCCGGCGGGCGGCGCCCGAGCGGCGGGGGCGAAGGGGCCCAGGGTATGGACGGAGGGGGAGGACAGGGGGGGGGGGGGCAGGGCAGCGCTTATCGATTCGCGCCCGCGCGACACACTGTATCTATCCTCTCATCGATGCTCGCTCGCCGGCCTCACAAAGAAAGAGATAGGTTTCGCCGACTTTGATCCTTTTGTTTTTGGGCAGCGTCCGGCGATGCGGGCGGGGGCTGAAAAATGCGAAGGGGCGCTGATTGGCCGCGGCGGGCCCGCCCCGCGCCCGCCCGCGGCCTCCGCGAAAGCCTCCGCGCGCGCTCAGTTCAAGGGCGGTTGCGACGCCGCGCGCCCTGTCGTTTGGGTTTCCCGTTCTATTTTTGAACCTAATGAGCCGACCATCATCACAATTGACGGTCGATGAGCGGACTATGCGTCAGCCCTTAGCGCTGAATTATGACAAGTTTGTATTTTATCGTAAGAAACGATTTTTCAGGGGGCTCACGTCACAAGCGGCGAGCGTGTTGAGCGAGCGCGGATATTCTCGGGAAGGGAACTAAAAGAGTAATGAGCACAACTTTGATAGTAAAGTATTAAGAAGCATTAATGATGAGTAAAATGCCGTGTCCGTTGGTGCGTCGAATTACTTGCGAATTTGCAATTACTTGTATCGGATGTGTCCCGCAATCCGTTCCTTTGAGCGGCGCAAAGCCCGCCACAGCACAAATATACGCACGATTTAAGCTCAACTGTACGAACTGTGCGGTCGCTTGCTCGTGCAGTTGCCATGTACCGCATCCTTTAAACACAAACTATTTGTGCTGCTTTGAACCGAATCTGCATTCAAACGCTGTACTCGTGCTATTTGTTGGATCACACAAACATTGTGTTTTTGAATTTCATTTTAAATATTCTTCATTCAGGATCATTTTAATGTTAAAAAATTGCAGCATTTAATATTCATCATTAATCACTTGCAGCATATCATGCATTACAATTATCCTTGTTTACCTTATTCACGCGAATTCAATATAATATGTAGGTAGGTACTCGTGTTATTTATGTAGATACTTATTCTGTCAGTAGATTAATTACCTATGTAATTTGATAGGTGTAAAAGTAAAAAACTAATTAACAGAGGGCCCCAGGTTTTCACAATAAAAATGCTTGTTTTTTCATTTATTAATATGATAATATGTGTTTATATATCCATAATAAATAGAGAGGAAGTTTGATTGTTCTTATATCTTGTATAATATTTGAATTAGATTTTGAACTAATGCAAAACTATGTTATTTCTAAGTGATAGGTTCTAGTTCTAAGGATAACTTATACAGTTTTCCAGGATTTTGTTATAATTTTCAGAATATTATAACGAAATATTAAGACGAAAGAAGTAAGAACAATGATATAATATACAAAATACGAGGATATTAAAACGTCATTGATTAAAACATATTCTTAATGTTTTAAGTGTTGTCCAGAAACATGTCTGCGTGTTTACTGAAACAAATACCGTTTTTAATATTCTTAAATTGTTTAAGTCTTTAATATTCATAATCCCTAAATTGTGATTCGGAAAGTTTATTTTGAATTTATTTTTCAATCCATGAAAGGCGAGGGAGTTAGCAAACATTTGATTTCATACTTCCGAACTTGTTACTTCTTGACAATATCAATAGACATGGAATAGACTGTGGTGTTTTTGTGGTGATACAATTAACCTGCGGAAGGTACGTCTTTTGACAAGACATCTTTTGCATGCTCAAATTTTTTTATTTATATCTATCTCAAAAAATTAAGTTATGGAGTTAGGGATACTGTTCTTTTATTCTTTTCATATATGTTATCAATATTTTATATACAGCTTATACATTTTTGTTATGCTTCTTTATTTCTATATTAACTCAATAGTATCTCGGAACGAATTGTTTTTATGCATTATCTAACAGTACCATGTAGTTTAATGCAATACAGATATTAAAAAATAGTGGTAATAATAAGTAATAAGTATTTTTTTAATTTTATTTTTTTTTATTCCTATTTCTGTCTAATGTTTTTCAAATGTTAAGAGTTTACAACAACATTATTAATCACAGTAAAAGCTCAACGCCCTAAATTGAGCCGTTATGAAGCATTTTCAGCCAAACAGAAACATGATTTAAATTAGAACGGTTATCTTATATTATATGTATTAATTAAAATACGTTCATTTTATTTCACTATTTTTTTTTTGGGAAAAGACTAAATCTGTCGGGTTTTAGATGCCCTAACAAACATTATGAAATTAATTTTGATATGATATTTTGCGATGCTGTTGGCGAAATCTTTCTGTAGGACAAGGACCATTCCGCTATTTGGTTTACGATGTCTTGTTCTCCAAAAGAAATATTTATCATACCATTTTAACTATAAATAAACAATAATTGAGCATATCATATAGTAAAGTTGGAGTATTATACTTTTGGTAAAGGTTGTAATCGCCGCTGCAAGCCCTCAGATGTTGTAGATGTATTTCACTTAGCATCAGGTGAAACGCGTGCTCACTTGAGAAGTGTGAAAAGTGTTCACATAAAAAAAGAACATTACAAACTACACATCTCTTTATGTTATTCACGACAAAATGGGGTTTCTCAACTGCGCTGCTCTCTCTACCGCTTCGACAGCGCTCATGTTAACGTCGAGCCGTTTAACTGCCAAACATAACGGGGTATCACGACACGTAAACCCAGTTCGGCGTACACACGTCTCGCGAAACGGAACGTCACTCAAATCAATCACGGTCATGGATCCAAGAGCGCCGCAAAGATATTGCCCGTACCAATCGTCGCAAAACGCACTCTAAGTCGAGCGTGGCACGCTCACGTAGTCCGCAACACGGTAATCTAAATGACGGAGTCACGTCGCCGTGTCGCAGCCCCGATTGGTCGCGTTCATTTACCTGTCACGTTGCGAAGACGCCATTTTCACCGGCACCGGCGCGCCGTGATAGACGCGTCACGCCGTTTGTTACTTGTGTCACTCGTTATGGAGTGTTATCGATCTCGAATGAAAGTCACTCGTCTCAGACCTGCCCTTCGAGTGACGTGAAAGCCGCCTCGGTATCGAATAAGTTAAGAACGGGCGAATACCTGTTAAATTCTATAAAAGTCCTACATGAAAAAAAAGCATTATTTAAAAGAGTTCTGCAAACATATGCTTTTGTTTAGTTATCGAACAAATTTTTTATAGGATTAATATTTACCTAACTTTTACAAAACTAATATTATTACAGCACAAGAATTTAGTAGTGATGTTGATAATCTCGGAGACGTATGTATTTAATAAATATCAAGCCGTTGTTGATGGAAAATATCGTTCGTGTTGTAAAAAACATGTTTTTTTCTTATCTTATTATTTTAATTTATCCTTTGTCTTTTTCCAGCGTATGGACCATCTTTTTTGAATGTCATTAAAACGCATTCAGATGTTACATTGGAACGATTTATTAAATGCAAGTCTTGCTGTTAAGCCAAATGCTGAAATGGAAACCATCGCCACCTGCATTAGGTTTAGTTGCCTAATTATTATGCAGATAAAATACCAAAATTGTATTTGTGTGTTAACGAAAATTGGCCCTCAAACTAAAGTGTCATTTTGGAAAACATTACCTCCCTAGTAAATTATCAAAAATGTTGAGTTGCTATGCCGTTATCCGTTTTCGGGCAGATAAACGAATTTTTTTGGAGGGCGGTCAAGTGACTAATCACAGCTCAAACAAATTCAAAGACAAACTTTTCGGTGTAGCGTAATGCCTGCCCGTTTGAAAGGACTCCTTTTTTCCGTAACTTAAAAGGTATTCGAAAAACAGTAGCACAAGAATATCAAGAGTCCTTTGGGCACAGTTTAAAAGTGTGCTTAGTAGAGATTTTATCCTGTTGATTTTGTTGCAAACGTTCCGAGTGCTAAACCGCCAAAAGTTATTTGAAAGGCTTGTTGCTTGTTTACAGTTCTCTTTATTTTTCGCCAGCTGAATACGGTTCGTGTAAAAGTACTATCTCTATTTGCAGTCTAGAATATACCTTATATTAAAAACTTGACGAGTCCGTGGCGCATTTGCTAAGGTATTAATGGCTTCGGCGTCGGGGGTCGTGGGTTCGATTCCCACACGGGATAGCTGTTTGTGTGACCCACAGATAGTTGTTTCGCATCTGGGTGTTTGTCCGTGTGAAATGTATGTTTGTAAAACATCTTTACAACACAGGATAATGTTATCCTAAAGTAAGGGCAATGTATTTAAAAAAAAAGAAGAAGAAAAAAACAGTTATAATGAAGGCATTAGCGTTCAATTCAAGTTATTCTGGTTCACGTCATAATACATGTATTTAAGCGGGAGACTCAGCGCTAAACGACAAAATATTTAAATAGGTATCCAGGATCCATTCGCGGCTATCTTCAGATAAAACGCCCCAATTCACATGCGTGAGCCGCGTGATGGATGAGCCCGGCGATCAGACCCTTGCCGACCCCCCCCCCCCCCCCCGGGAAATTTGCCTTCCCCACCCCCGACGTGTCCGACAACGGCTTGCCCGGCCTAAGTCCTGTAGGTGATCCATTACACTGGCATTTTTGCGTAATCCCCGTTTATAAATATGAAATTGAAGGAAGACCTAGTGATGCTTAATCGACTCGAGGTCGGGGTCGGATCGTCCCTCTGCCGCGTTTAAATTATGGCATAGTAAAATATTACGTAGACACTCGCGTGCTGTGTTTCTTTCACCATAAAACGCAACGTAAATAATCACGTATGCGTTTTCTGCAATCAAAGTCAACGCGCTAATGCAAATCATTGCGATTGTAATGAATACCTCGCGTTGTACGCACGCTGATTATAGACGGGGTACGTTCTGATTATAGATAATTATAGTTGGGGGAGTTACGCCGGCGGTGATGGGCGATTTGGGTATTATTTGCGCTTTATTTGGGTATTTATTGCGCTTGAGTGACGACGCAGATATTATGCGCGGTTATAATACAGCGCGTCCCTTGAGGGCTTTCACCCTTCGACGGTGAACAGAACAGCGAACGATGATTTCGTAATATGTATTTTTTAATATAATAAACGCTGTGAACTATATACAATTTTTATTATTTGAATTCGGGACACCAAAGGATGTTAACGACTATGTCTCCTTTAAGATTAAATGCTAACAATGAGACGTCATTGAAAAAGTATGATTAAATAAACGGTGGTAGAGCCACGCAGCAGCCTCGGCTGTTGCACGAATGGGCAGGCTCGTCCGGGTAAGTACCACGACCTCACAGAAGACCGGCGTAAAGTGGAAGTATGACAAATACTTTCGCGTTTCGTCTGGTGAGTGAGGTAGCCGGAGCCCAATTTCCAAAAAGGTTGTCAACGCATCTGCAAACCCTCGGGTGTAGCAGATGTCTATGGGCGGCGTTATTCACTTAATATCAGGTGAACCGTCTGCTCGTTTGGCAACTTTTCACATAAAAAAAAAAGAATAAAATAAAATCCTTCGTTAACCTGTGGCTTTTAAAGTCTCTGCGAACAAGAATTAAAATTGTTATGCGATATAAGCCAACATATATGTAGGTATATCCAGGGAAATATGTATAGTGTTCAGTATAAAATTTGTCCAAACAGAATTTATTTTCTATCAATTAATACCGTTAAAGTTATAAGGTCTTGCGGACCACTGAGTTGGTACGACAAATACGAATTATCAAGATTACGTCGATTTCGATTCGTGAAATACAAAATAAAATTGTATAACTCTATTCCTTAAATAAAGTCGCAGTCATACTTTTTATTGCTTTCCATATATGTCCATGGGAGGCTCGTTTGTCAGTTTCTCACATAGAAAAAAGGAAGATTACAGTAGTATTCCTTCGTCACGTGGACTATACGTGACGAATGAATACTACGGTCTATTATTTTACGTTCCTCCTGTTTATTTTTCAGATTTTTTTTATTTTAATATTGAAATTGACTAAAGTAATAGCGTCTATGTTTGCTTTATTATGAACATGGTGTTGTGACGATGTTATTTCGAGTGACCGTTCTTAACCGGTCACATTACAGTACCTGGGGGCGATATATTATATTCATTAGCTGCAAGCCGGAGGCCGGGATGCGGCGGGCGCGGGTTTTAGTGCAGTGATGTGGCGATAAGCGCTTGTTTGGGGGTTACCTCAGTTCTTTCGGCGGGCTTAATGCCAATTAGAGTAGACAATATCGCCACGGCTGAAAGGATGGAGACCTTTATTAGTGTCGGATATTGTTACGGGGTCACTCGGGTGGAAATTGTGCGGTGGAAACGTATGCTGATTAGGCGGGTAATAATAATATTACAGCCGCCCCGGGTTTTGATACGGTACGATTGGATGGGCGGTTTTCGGTGTTATTGTCAGTGATTAACAATGAAATGTTGTGGTTCGTGTATTTCGTATCGTGTTCACCGATCGGGTGGTCCTAAATTGTTTTATTTTCACCTGATACCTAATATTCTAAATTTTGCTAGCTCGTTTGTTACCATGGCGAGGAATCTGTATACTAATCCTATTTCAATTTATGCTTGACAAAAAAACTAAATTAACATTACAATATAAAATTAAAAATAATTACAGACATGGTAGATCGATCTACACCTAAAAATATATAATATGTAAAGTTTGTAATATTGTTTGCCTTCAATGCATAATATGATTCACATTTACTATATGTTACTGGCCGGTTATAAAATTGCCTTGGTGTTTGTTTTAATAGTACGTTTCAAATATTTTTTTTTAATAAAGCTGGATTAAAAAGAAAACAACTTTTTACTGTAACATTATAATAACGCGAATTCACGAAAGTAAATATTAAATCTAAACAATTTTTTGTTGATCCATCCAAATTTCCATGACATTTTTAAACTATTCGGTCTCGAAACTAGAAATCTACCAGTACTACGAGTTTTTAGAACCGTAATAAAAGCCTGCAAAATTATTGCGCTTCTGGAGGAGATTTGCAGCTAATGCTTCGTGGCTTAAAGGCTAAATGTGAGTCGTCCCACAGTCCAAAGCATCAACAGACTGGTTCTGATGAGAGAAGGCCTGCTTCCGGAAGAAAACCACGTACTGAATCACGCGATGGTCGGTTTCTGGTGAGTCAAGCCTGGCCTGAACATCTGTAGAGTGAAGAACGAAGTTGCCCACTGTAACGAAGGCAAAGAGAACGCTTTGCGGAGTCATGTTTAGGACAATCACACCTCATGATGTATTTAACGATTGCTTTAACGTTTTAGGCAGGAATAAATTTCTTGGATCGTACGTAATTAGTATTCATTGACTACGTCCGACGGATTAGACACCGCTGCTTAATTATAAATAGCATTTGACGGCGCTCGGCGAATATTCAGTTTTTATAGATGACAACACAGCGCACGCGAGTGTGATGACGAACCCTATGAGCTAAAAGTCGGAATTCGTTGTATGCTTCTAAAAGTGATCACCTCAATAATTTAGACCTTTTCTGGGACGTTCTGAAGCGACGAGTAACATCAGTTCAACCGACTCCACAGACCATTAGAGAGCCAAAGAATATAATTACCGCATAGTGGGAAAGTATTCCACAAGAAGCTATAAGGATATTTTCGCTAGCATGTCCAGGTTAATTAAAAGTGTATATTACACACTATCCATACTAAACTTTTATCTGATTTTACTATATTCAAGAAAAAAAATATTAAAGAAAAAAGACAAAAAAAATGTTTTATATTCAGCGAACAAGTACACTACTTACGCTATAAACATTATAATTTCTTATTAATTTAATCAAAATGTAATAAGCCATACGAAAACTATAACCTAAGGTTGTCAGGTTGTTTTATTCCCTTTGTGCTTATTTCGGTTACAGTTACATTGATTATCATACGACATTACATTTACATTGGTATTAGTTATATATAGTAAGACATGTTGCTATTAGTAACTAAGCCCCTTATTGCAAACTTCAGTATAAAATGGCATTTATTTTTAATTTTTTGGTGTAAAATTAACTGTTTATCTGTTAAATTTTTAATAATATTCTCTTGTGCTAACTGTTGTGTCAATTGTATTGTGTTGATAGCTTAATTAGATCAGGATAATGATTACTATTAGTGTAAATTAGCCGCATAATAGAGGTGTGATAGATTTAGACCTATTAAGGGTGGTTTTCACCAAGACGCGAATATTAACATAACAATAACATCACTCTATAATAAATTATTGATTGTTGATCGTTACAAACCGGCCTCTCTATCGTAAACGCACAAAAATACGAAATCTTGTTTGCTTATCTCTTTGATTGACAACGGTTTAATAAAATAACTTGAAAATCTAACCTAATTAAAACTAAAAAGGTGATAAGATTAATAAAATATTACTATAATACAAATAAATTATGCACTTACTTAAAAACCAAACTAGATAAAAATGCTGGCCAAATCTCCGTGGGCAGCGTGCCCAGCAAGCTGGCCGAGTTGCCACGCTGTATTGCGAGGGTGATTAGCTGGCCAAAGTACGAGCCAGCTTTTGGGTCGCCAGAAATGGTAAACAGACGCGAGCAGACATCTTTGCATAAACGTTTCCAGCCTCCTATTTAAATCATTCCATAGCGCCATTTAATTAAAGTTTTGAAATAATAAATGTGTAAAAATTTTAACATAATATAACACAAATGGACAGAAAACGCACAAAACCAGTGTACTTACTATGCAATTTTGAAGATTTTTGTAAAACGAGGAAGCGATCTAACAATTAATGATTTAATAAAAAAGCCTCAAATACTATCGAGTATAAAACATATTTTAGTGCTATATGTGACATGGAGTAAATGTATTTATACATATATGAAATATACGAGTAAAATATTTTAATGAAATGATTGAATTATGGACATGCATAAGGTGCTTCTTATTAAGGGGTGTGTGTCTTTTATCATTACGCTCCGTACTAGCATCATGCATCGATATATTAATCTGACAACCATGATGGATCTCCCGCGAATCCGTATTTATCTATACGCTTCTTGTTTTTTAAGCAACTCCCTCGCAATAACAAGTGTGTTTTTCTCACGATTCGCTTATAGATGCGTTTGCCATAATTTTAGAGAGTAAAGTAGGATGATATTTAAAGTATATGTGATGCGTAAAAATTTAGCAGCTAGATTTCAATACGATTTTGTAAACTCTCGGTCAGGGAAAACGTCTCTCAAATCTTGGTGGGTATTTTTTCATTTTATAATAAAAGTGTATTAGTAGTCTAACTCGAGTGGCTTAAGCAGTTGTTTTTAGCGAAAATGAGTCTCAATGAAATGATCTAAATATTTGATACAATATGCATATTATAATATAGGTTTGTCTATTCTGTGTATTCCACTTTATAGCGTCGACCTGGGTTTTGCGTCTTAATGCCATAGTTAACCTCGGCTACTGTCAACTTGTAGATTTATTTTATTCAGATCTACGCAGTGCACAGCTTACATTATCTTGAAGGCTTGTGGTGTTGGTGTATTTGAATCCAGTAATAGCTGGTAGTCAATAATACCAAGCTGGTGGTAAATCGGACGATCTTTTCAATTGATATTTGGTTAATGAAACATCTCGCATCATCCTTGAAAGCAATCGATGTGCTTTTATATTTCTCTTTTTCGTCGTTCCATTTAAAGCAATGGTCGGAGAGTTCAATGTCGTGGTATATATAGGTTAATATATATGGTAATAATTATATTATTAAATAGAACTTATTTGGAGAATTTATTTCGGCGCTAACTTAACCTAAAACTAGGACGATCCACACAAATTCAGGCACATGGTAGGCTTAGTTATAAAACAGTTTGCGAGATTAATTGCCATATTCCGTGTTAGATAAGTATTAATGGTAACTATCAAGGGGACGCTACCGCGTTCTCTACACCCTTCTATAATTACGGATCCTCGTTTATTATAAGATAAAGCGCAGCTATGAATTATATCGGTAATTGTTAGCGCATTGCGTAATATGAACTTTGCGTTGCAGATTGATATCTATAATTGAGCGTTTATTAATAATTCGATTTTCTTATTGTCCGAAAAACTACTGCAAGGAATAGTATTTTAACACGCACTTTTATGTTATTTTAATTGAAATCAATAATGTTCTTATTTCGGAGATATAGATACTAAACAATACTTTAACTCCGAACTAATAGTGTAGCCCTATTGTCGTTAGATCCTGTGGCTACCCACCGTTGCACATTCGATAGACAAGCAAGCGAACGCGTCCTTTAATACCTTCCGAGTGCTCGTTCTTTTAGCCATAATGGGGCGCAGGTTAAACAGCACCGCCGCCAGCGCTGCGCTTACTCAACCGTGTCCGCTTTCAATCGGCGACGTCACGCAGCCGGGCGGTGGGTCGCAATCAGTGGAATATTAAAGTGCGCCTATCCCATAGTTTCCGCACGAGAGTCCCGAGCCATTGTTCCGTCACGGCCCGCTGATATTGTCTATGCGGGCGTCGCAGTCGCCATCCCCCGGGGCAGTGGACGGCCGCGGGCGAGACATTTCACGAGCGGCTGCCCGCGCGACCTTTGCGCGTATTCCCCCCCGCGAAATGCCATCGCATTTTCCACCTTTTTTCGCCGACCCGGCCGGCTCGCCCGCTCCACGGCACTCGATTAATTTTACACGGTACGCTTGTCAAAATGTGATTTAATACGGCGCGCCGGGGTCGACTTGGTCCGCTTTGACGTGTGATGCGTGCAACCCGGTGGCCGGACCGCACCGAATACGTTGGGGTAATAGAGTTAGAGAGACGGCCGAAACTGGGCGAGCGTTCACGCGTAGGCGATTCCGGCGGCCAAATGTGATGTGCTCAGTACGCGTCGGTTTGGTGTATTTTTATTTTACGAAACTCGTGTTTAAACAAACTGCTTTTAATATTTACCATAAGGTATAAGTAATTTTGATGTATTTAAACAAGGGTGTAAGGGAAACTATTCGACAGATTTGCGCAAGAATCCGTCTTTTAAATCAAGAGAATTTTTGAGAGAGATACAGTGCCTTTTATATCCAGCAGTTAAACCTGCAAAAGCCTAAAACTAAGTACACGTTATTGCTATTTTATTTTATTGCTCCATTAAATGCTCTACCTAGTGGTAATGATCATATTGGGACCGATATCTAAATTTTTTTAAAATCCTTATAAAACAAGAATAGTTAATTTATTTGACAGTGTGCGTTACAATGTTCGATTCGCGTTACAATTGTGCCGAGCTGCTTGTGCGAGTTACAAGTGGCGGTGTCAATATCGGCCCCAAAAATAGGAACCGCAATTTTCCATTTGCCGCGTCACTCCGGATTCCAATAGGAAGCGGGGATAAATGGAGTCACATTCCAATATGTCACCGGGCGGGCTCCGACCATTTCGCTTTTCGGCATTTCACATTCGGCATTCGGCATTCGGCGTTCGGCGTTCGGCATTCGAGATTCGCGGTAACGGATATTCGGGCCGCCTGTACACTCGATGGATATTGGCGCTAGCGTGCATTCCTCTACCGCCCCTAATGAGATTCTAACGGTCCACACGGACGACTATTGTTTTAATATGAATGCTCTCAGAACAATTTCACGTATTTACGCAAATACTACACATGGGATGGACTGAGGTTTTTGGCATTCTAATGTAATAGGAAGGCCTTGATAGCACGGCTGTTGGATTATTCACAAAACTGATAAACTGTTCGACTGTCACGATCATCGATGTTGTTAATTAGTCGAATCTGATCTGATGACAGGTACGGCAAGTGTGTAATCAATTTTGAAAACCAGTTACGTAACGCAAAGTGTAGTAATGCCTCTGTTTCAATGTTTTTATAAAAGAGTACTTATTTAACCGTGGTAGGGCTACGCAACACTCTTCAGTGTGTTACACTTTTGCGTTTCATCTTGTGAGTAAGGTAACGGGGGCCCACTTGATTAGAATGTGGTAACGCATCAGCAACCCTACGGATATTGCGAATATCCATGGGCGGCGGTCACTTAATATGAGGTGAATCGCGTGCCACATTCTCTTATAAAAATAATAATTGCAGCGGTTTTAATGAAGCCATGAAATCATCATTCCGGTAGGTTCAAGGTAGGTCCTTACATGTAGCAGCAGATGCTGTTACGTGGTTCCATGACAGCAATTATTTTATAGTAATATAATATCAACAGTTTATCTAATATAGTGAAACCATGGAGTGAGTTGTTTTTAAAAATATAGGTAAATTTAGGTGACAACTAAGCATAAGACAAAAAATTGTGCTGGCGAAACTTACCTAATAAAACTTTAAGAACATACAAAGTTGTTAGTTTGAAGGTGAAAAACACCAAATAAGTTTTCAGGGTATTACGATCGGTTTATATCGCTTATTCTTCGTGCGTAATGCCCCCGATAAATAGGGCGAGAGGCCTAACATGGGCTTTCAGAAGACATTAGGCAATCCGCGCACGGACGGAATGCGCGTCACGTTATCCGTTATTGCCTGTACAGCGCCGCCTTTGCCCGCACTGATTTGAAATATTTCCACGAAACCACTCATACGTAGCTCGCAAACAGGCGCCTGCAAATGCCGCTTAGGCGATCTTGATATTTGCTATGATCGATTTTAATGGAAGATACTTATTATTATTACTTTTTTACACAAACCTTTGGGTAATCTTCTATATTTACAACTTTATATGTTATGATAGGAAAAAAACTGTAGATCTGAAAAATAGAACAAAAACTCGCGCAAAAATGTGAAAAAGTTTCCTGGTTCTTAAACATTGATGTTATGTATAAAATATTCTGGAAGAGGAAGCTTTTGTGTATGTTTGTATTTATGTGAATACCTACAACTTTAAATGCAATCCACTCAAATCCTTGTCTTTTATTAAAGGAACGGATATGTGTAAAAATTATGCCAAGACAAAACATTTATAAAATTATAAAGAACACAACAACAACTGAGCTTATAGTTATACAATATACTACGAAAGTATTTAAACCCGCTAGCAATAAAAAAATATTTAACCATCGTAAAATTAATGTGTTATGAACCTGATCTGCTATATAGTTGCATAATAAGAACGATGCATATCTTGCCAGTGTGGCAAACAAACAAATTCAAGGACGCATTTTATAACTGGTATGTATATACGATTTTATCAACCGATTTTATGCATGGGGCTCAAGTACCAAAGTCGGTTGGTCGTGGTACGCATGCGACTCGCGGATCCGCGGTATGCAAGCCTCTCACGTGGCGAGAGGGTAATCGTTTTGTAGTAGCGCGTTTGCACCTCATTGTGCCAGCCTCGGCAATCGCGACCGCGTGGATATCTCGCGTGCCTATTCTAATGCATTGTAGTAGGCACGGGCTGTCTGATGTCTTAATTCGGTCTGAGAGCCGAGCTGCTGGCATTTAGCTGGTTGTGCTGTGATTAGCATATCGTATTCTGAATCAATTTAAAATCAGGAACATCAATTTACTTCAAATAAGGTTTCTTCCAATGATGTAAACAAACTTTTCAAAATTCATGTAATGACGAAATATGACGTCCAAAGGGTAGAACGGTACCCTATAACTAAGACTCCATTGTCTGTCTGCCTGTCCGTTTATCACCATGTGTATCTCATGAACCTTGATAGTTAGACAGTTGAAATTTTCACAGATGATGTATTTCTGTTGCCGCTATGAGAACAAACTAACAAACAGAATAAAAAAATATTTAAGTGGGGCTCCCATACAACAGACATGATTTTTTTTGTCATTTTTATAGGTAATGGTACGGAACGCTTGTAAGTCCGACTCGCACTTGCCTGGTTTTTTTACACGTATTGTTAGTAAATAGATCCCTACACGGCATAGCGGTCAATGTCTGGACATCGAAATGAAATAAATATTTGGGAACATAAATATTTAATGTACCATTTTGTATATGACGGATGCATTTTTCGAAGATTTTATTAGTCTCCGAACTAAAAATAGGAGTGTTATTAGTTTGACGTGTCCGTCTGTGTGTCTGTCTGTGGCATCGTAGTTTCCGAACGAATGGACCGATTATGGTGCTTTTTTTTGGCAGGCGAAGTGATCAAGATGGTTCTTAACTATAATTTATGAAGATCTGTTTAGATGTTTGAATAATGATCAGATCATTTCTAACTTGATAAAAAGTGTATAACTAACTTTCACTGATTCGATTGATTTGAAATTTGGTGGACTGGTGCTTCGGTGGTATTTCCACTGTCACACTAACTGTTGTAGGTATAAGTACAATACACCATGGATTGCTTCACTAACCTTAAGCTGGGATGCTCAATTCCTCAAAACTTATAGCAGATACAGTGTTTTTGGGCTCATAAGAAGAGCCCAAATGAGAAGGTGTTAGATAGATGATGACCGAGGACACATGGTAATCTTAGACATGCAAGCAAGCATCTAATATGCATGTATACCACAGCCATGGTTTCTTTTACGACTCGTTTGCTTGAATTTTTAATCGATTTTTTTTGCCGAGGATTTACTTTTAATCTTTAATTTATAAATTTAAAGATTTTCATTGTTTGTTCGTGCATGTCTCGTAAGATATTTAAGATTTCATATTATTAACTAGTGCTGTGAACAACAGCTGTTGCAATTGTCAACTTTGCTAACCGCATTATTTAAAAATATTTAAATTAGGGATTAAAAGCTATAATTCTTCAAAGAAATTATTTATAATCTATCAAGTTAAATATTATGTAAGTATGTAGCAAATTACAGCCTTATTAAGGAATGTTGTAGCCTTGTACCTAATAATATTGTAGCTTTGTAAAGGAATTCATGAAGTATGTATAGTACAGTTTCAGATTTTATAACATTTTTATTGACTATCGTTTAACAAAATAAACATATTTAATTTCTCATAATAAAAGCTTTTATGATATTCATCATAACAATAGTCGGTATATGAAATTTTTGGCAGCCCTGATATTGCGTCTTATAAGCACTTGAAGCCATCGGAATACCTTTCACGTTATTACAAGCTCGAATTTTATAGAACATTATAAGTACTCGTGCCCTGAATAGTATTTCGCGACGTATGGGTCGAATCGAGGGCTTATTCCGGCTTAATAAACCGTACTCAGTAGACATCGCTTCCATTACCTTCTTTATGTTTATTATCTACTTTTAAATTAAAACATAAAAAAGTTAACGAAAATGAATTCGCTTAATAAATTTCAAAAAAATCATATAAGGCCCTTTCATTTTAGGTTGGCATTTTTATACGTATTTAACCATTATCTGGCAGATCAATAACTTAATAGTAATATTTGAGTAAAAATTTGAAAAATCTTCCAGCTGCCAAAATGGCAGGCCGTTAATATTTTAGCGCGAAATACCTAGAAGACTGTCATCGTATTAGAAAAAAAAAAAAAACGATTAAAATCTTGCGCAAGCCGACAGAGCGTTTTTATAGCGACAGATGTGCGCGTGCGCACAACTCACCTGTCCCACGTGGCCAAGAAGAATAGCGGCTACAAAGGAGTCTTAACATTCCATTATTGTCACTCTGCCGAGCTTTGATTTAGGAAACATGGATACTGAATGTTTAACATTTGAAATGGTGACAACGGATTTTTCTTGTTTTTAACGATAATGCTGTTTACGGTGGTAGGGCCACGCTGCAGCCTCGGCTGTTGCACGAATGGGGATGCCCGTCCGGGTAAGTACCACGACCTCACAGAAATATGACAAATACTTTCGCGTTTCGTCTGGTGAGTGAGGTAGCCGGAGTCAAATTTTCAAAAGGTTGTCAACGCATCTGTAACCTTCGGGTGTAGCAGATGTCCATGGGCGGCGGTATTCACTTAACATCAGGTGAACCGTCTGCTCGTTTGGCAACTTTTCACATAAAAAATGTGTTCGATGTGCAAATTAAACTAATTTGTATATTTTGAATAAATTTGGATTGGATGTCCTTAACATCATGGAAAATATTTTATTAACGTTTATTTTTAATTATTGCTATTTCTTATTCTATTATTATGCTATTTCTTATTCTATTATTACATATTTTTTTTTATTGAGATAAATAAATAAAATAAATAATAAAAAATAACAGACAGTTCATTTGATGTTAATTGATTTAGCCCATTGAGACGCAACTTTTGTCACTGTAGTTTCCACGCTTTTTAAGAGGATGTGCCCCAGTATGAAAGTTGCCTTACAACGGTCTTCCGTGAGGCTGTGGTATTTCCCCAATCAAACCTGCAATCCCATGGCGGTTGTTGATGTCCATAGGTGGCGGTGGTTATTTACGCAGGGGGTTATTTAGCAATACACAGACAGTTACTTACTTTTAATGGGAGCGCTGAAGATGCATAAGTGTTTTTGATTGTATTTAATTTGAACTGCATAACACGGCCGGCCAAAGTTGTTAAACTACCAAAATCCATTGACATAAAATTTCATTCATACAAATTGCACAAATAAACGAAAAAGAATAAATTACATTACCTGTTAGGGGAATGACAGTGACCGTTTGATTTATTAACGTAATTGTTCTATGTTTTTTCTAACCTAACTTCGACAAAAAGAAAGGTGCGTTGTTTCCTTGAATGCATTACTTAGGTGGCCCAGTGGACATGTCTTATAGCGTTACCGTCAATCACTTTACGGTTATTTGTGTTAGAATCGAATTTTACGGCAACTTATTATTTATGTTGTAGATACAAGACTTCGAAGTTATTGCTGGAAGGAAGTACATATTAGAAATGTTGCTACTATAGTGAGTACGTATTGTTGCACTTACATGTACGTATAAAGATACGGAATGGGTTAAATTTAGTTTAATGTTACCTTACCTATTTCTTTTGTTTTATCTTAATGGTCAACACAATAAATCAGAAAAGATTTGCAATTGATTGAACGTCCTTCGTGTTCCTAATCCTTTAACGATGCTATCGCATTGTAATCGACTTCGTATCTAACTTAATATGCTACGATGCTTTAACAATGAATGTATGCGATCGGCCAATGCGCTCCGTTTCTCCCCCGCCTACCTGGCGGATTCCCGCCAACGCCGCCAGCGCACTACGCAGAAATGCACAATGGACGTCGATTTTTTTCTGGAACGATTCATGGACACTAAGCGCAGTTTTTCGGCGCAAATTCCGAACGGCCGTACACCTGGTCGGAAACGGCCCCCGGGGGTCCTTGCGCTGATTGATAGAGGGCCCGTGATTTTCGCATTACAATAACAGAAAAGTCTACGCTCCGCCCGATCCGTACGAAGTCGGGCGTCGCCGAGTCTATAAAACAATCAATGATACAGTTTCGTGAATGGAACGTGAAACAATGACCGCTTTGTGGATGCTCGCCGGTGGGTGGGCAGACTCAGAACGCGCACTCAATTATTCAAGGTGGACCGATGGACAATTGAATGATTGAACGCTCGTTCCTTTTGCCGGACCTCCTTAAATTTAAGTGCATTTGTCTTCGTGTGCGTAGAACTTTACAGATCATTCTATGACCACATAGAAAAATTCATATCTCGAGCGTTGCGTGAATTCAGTGACTTTTTGTTTTCGTAAGAAATTGAAATTTAACAACACGTTTAGCTTGTATGTTAGTCTGTGCGCACCCTTCAATGTTTATGTAATCTTGGTATAAATTTCGAAGTATTTACATGACTGCAGAAAGTCATATTTATCTTGGGTAGAATAATAAACGGATACCTCCGAAAGCTCTAGAACATTAATTTGATAGATCTCATTACGAGTATGGAGATATGTGAAGATTAAATCCCACAAAATAAAGCTTAGTCCCGGAGGAGTGATTGCCGCCGTCTACTGCCGCTACCTACCTCGGTAACTGTGCAGATTTTAATCTCAGATAAGTGGAACGGGCTGAGAACAGTTTACATAAATTTTAAACTCAACACTTGTTGGGAGCTGAATGCTCGATTATGATGTTGTTAAGGGGCGGTGATACCTACGGTGCTCGAAGTTATCCGGTCGTAAAAACGACGCTAACCAAACTTATTATTTCTCGGTGAACGAAAGGTCAGGGAATTGTTACGTACCGTTTATTCATTCATTAATAGGAGCACTGAAAAATGTTATGGAATAAAGTACGTATTGTACCTTAATTGTACCTTAAAACCGATGTCAGGAAGGTTTTGAGCCCATAATTCATTAAATTGAAATGTTTTACAGTCGTAAATTAAACTTAAAACTATGTCTATGCCTATCGAAATAAAAATTAAAAAAAAAACATTTATGACTATACTATAATAACTTAGTTACTTACATCCATTGCAGATTAGTCGAGTCATTTGTATGTTATTATAATTATTATTTGTATTTTAAGAAATCATAAGTTAAAATGAATTCAATAAATGATTAATTTAATAATTATGTTTTCTGTTTTGTTTCTTTGCCGAAATATGATTTAGAAAAACAATAAAATGTCGTTTAAGAAATAATCAAATTTATATTTAATGACCATTTGTTGAGACTCAGAAGTTACTCAATTATGAAATTTAATAATTCATGTCTTATATTTGACAATCTTATTAACTAGGTTAAGGCGTAATATTTTTTATGTCTGTATCCTATATCGAGCGTTCATTGAATATAATGTATTAATTCTCCAATAAGTTACTTTCTGAAGTCTGAAAAACTATCAAATATCAGATAACACAAATAATGCGATTTTGAATTAGAATTTTGTCTGATTGATTTAAGTGCAACTATTAAATTCTTACGGCTTAGTCATTGTTAATAGATAGATATATGTCTTGTACGAATTCTCAAATTTCGTTTCTTCTCAGATCTGATCAGATCGATATGGTCTTTTCAAACAACATTTTTCACGTTTTACACATAGGACTGTTAATTAAGTAATGATTGAATTAGGCGTTGATTGCATTATAAATACATTATACGTTATTTTTCTATGCGCTCTTAGCATTAGTTAACAAATGAATGTTTTATAAAATATATTGGTCCAAATTAGGCAAATGTTTTTGGTGCATAACAAAATCGTATTTGTTACATTGAAACGACGATTTAATAAAATCCCAGAAAGTTTTGAGAATAGAACGCACAGGTTCAAAACTTTCTAAAAGCGGATCGCAGAGAAAGGAAGAGAAGAAATAATGGAATATCTTCATCCAACCCTTCTAATTAATAGCCATCACTGTCTCCTCCACTCTCGAGGGCTGACAACGCTTTCAAGTTTTTTAATATGCTTCCTCACCTCCGTAAAACAGAAAGGATAATTGCTTTTTTCCTCCGCTAAGTTTCAAGTCCTCCCCAGGCGCGAATCTCGCTACAATTAGGAAAGTTCGCGATGTTTCACTTTTGAGGAGGATTCTGATGTACTCGTAAACTCTGCGTTAATCGGGCAGACACCCCTCGAGTTAAATACAGGAACACGTGTACAAACCCGTGAAGTTTCGTATATAGTTAACAGAAATTGCGTTTTCGACACATTCGCAAACGTTAAAATGTTTTAAAATTCACAAATGACTTTATATGAACTATGTATCGTTTTGATATAATTGAACAAAAAAGGACAGTTAATATTTTATTTCTACAGTGAACAGGTTATTTAACTTGCGTATTTGAAAACAGTATATCGCGTATAGCAATAATGAAATTATGATGTGCTTACCTACGTATTTAACTTAAAAATGGTAGATAGTGATAGGAATTTTTATAAATTTTACAGACCTCGTAACTGGTGTATCATTATTATTGTAAGTAGAAAATAGACTACGAAGAGTATATTGCACTACATATTAATTATTCGGAAAGGGTATAATCTCATCATTTATTTTCATTATGTAACTGATATTATATTCCTTATAGAGCTCAGCCTCGTAAGGTATATTTTCGCTTAAACAATTTTTTTAATAACTGCTTGTAGTGGATCAACGAGATGATATAAAAAACGTAAGACGTGGACAATCCTTTGCGCTGAAAATTGAATAGTTGGATTACGCGACCTACCGGGGTTGAGTTAGGGTTGGCAGTTGGAATTTTTGCGCTTCTATTTTTTTCTGTTATAGCAACGTCTTGTCACATATTATTGTTAGTCTCTATTTATTTATTTATGTGCGTTAAATATACTCCATTTTAATTATAGTAATAAATTAACAAACATATATATATATAACAATTCAAAAGTTTATGTGTTGTGTTTTGTATTTTTTTCAGTCATTTCATCCAAAAAGGAATCATGATATTATAACCTTTAAAAGGGATTTTGAAGGATGTAATTTAATGTTGTTTGTGTTTATAACATGGCTTAACATATAAATAACACTGAGTCGTTTCTTAATGTCTTTCCTAGTTAAAATTAATTTTCAACAATGAAAATATGGTAAAATTTTGTAATCGAAACATTACTCAGGCCGATGTTATACTTCAAGGGACAAAAATATATAGTACCTATATTGTGTTTCATATTAAATTTATGTAAATGGTTCCGCTTTGCTTAAACTTACTGCTTATTTAAAGAATATCCCAATACAAATTTTTAACTCGAATAGAAATAACGTTGTACTATCATTAGTAAAAATATAAAAATTAAGTGAAATATTAATATTGGATTTAATCTTAATATTTGTTTAAAAAAATATTAAAAGATCTATAACTTCCAAAGATACACAAAACATTCATACGTTAACATTTATATGCAACTCATTCGCAAGCTATTCGATGCCTATTAAGATACATAACAGTTCTATCAATAAACAAATACCTACATTGAACATACTTAATAGTTCTATAAATTAATTGATACAATATTAATTCATGGAACTATTAAGTTACGTGTTATAGGAACATGAAAATTATTAACTGTTTATGTGCATCTTTAAAAAAACACTATAAATTTTAGACGACTACAACCAATGATGTTTAATAATATAGATGACGCATGTTTAAAGATTGCTCCGCTTTACATTGTATGAACTATGTAAGTTAATGTGACAGATGACATGGACATACGGGAAGCGAGTTATCTCTCGTTATTAAATTACACCGATTGGTGTAATTTGTGTGCCTCAATTTCGCTGCGCTAGTGCCATATCTTTGTATATAATATCAGTCCCAAAAACGCTATCATGATACAGTTGAAATATTTTTATACAATATACAATATTATTTATTTTGCAGCCCTAAATATGAACACAAGTATATTGTCGGAAGCTCGGGAGCTGATTACGCGTGCCATTGTGTCGCAGACATTGGACTCAATTAAGTATTAGACTCGGTTTATGCCCCGCTTCCATCTAGTGCATATCGGATAAACTTAAGAGGCTCAGTTTAAGATGTATTACCTGTGTAATAACTTATATTTGTTATGTAAAAACAAGATGGTTTGGCGGCTAAACGCTTCTTACTTTTAAAAAATATCAAAAACTTTGTCAAAAACTGCTTTAAGGATTTTATGGCGTTTTATTTCAAATTCAACATTTACTCTATCGTTATTGATCAAGGGACAAACTAGTTTAGTGTTTTGTCCTAAAAAATAAATACTTTAATACTCCACGACCACTATCGCGTTATTGTAAAATAAAAATTAAAAACATTACCTTGTTTCGAATCACTACATAAAAGACAAACAATAAGAGCGGGTCGTCGTATACAAAACTTGACAAAACTCGCTAAGTAATTGCAGACTAGTTAACAAGTGCGGTGGCATTGCACGCCACTTAAGTGGTAAATTCGAGGAAGCTGTCATCTGAACACAACTCGTTGCAATCGCTGAAGTGGTCTGCTAACGAACACGCGTGTCAAAGCGAAACACTTCATTAGGTGAGCGACGCTCTTCGCCCGCCCTCCGCTCCGCTCCCGCCCCCGCTGCCGCCTGCGCCGCCGCCCCCGCGCCCGCTGCACCCTGCGCTCCTTGCTCCAGCCTCTATTTAGTGGGCGTCTTACCGACTCCGCTGCGCTAATTAGACGACGCCGACTCTCCTCTCATTAGTGGCGAAATTATGCAGTTTGCTGGAATTCGGGTTAAATGTGAGGTCGAGGAGTCGAGTTCTGAGAAAAAAACGAGAAATATTCCCGCGCTGTCTGCGCCACAACTCTAGATATTGATCAAACAAACTTCTATTTCATCTATATTCGCGCCGTGCTTATCTAAAAACAGATCAGATCAGAATTTTGCAAAATACAATTTATTAGCAGCTAATTGATCTTAAAATACAATAAGTAAACGAAGGGCGGTGGTGGCTAATTAAAATTAGCGGAACCGAAAAAAATGTGTCGAGAAAAGTGAACGATAAAATTCCCTCCTCATTTACGTAAGCGGGCGAAAATAGGATATTTGTAAGTAGGGAAACGTCCTCTCGGGCAAACAACGTTTATCTACAGCACATTGGGTTAATGAATGGGGGAGGAAGAATGAGAAGCAAGCATTATTTTAATTAGAAAAATTGCTGGTGAAATTCACTCGGGGGTTCGGGTGCGTGTAAATGGAGTGTGCATGTAAGCTGCAGGCTTCCCCAAAGAAACGCTACGACATTACAATCGAATAAGGCAAAATGTTTTCCATCGCATTTCGAGGCCATTAAACGTGTTTTCGTACGCTTATTGTTTATAACTATAAAGGAGTATGGAGCGTTTAGTTCAACTCGGCATCCCAGTTGCCGCGCTCCGGACCTTTGACCCGTAAACACAAAGGGGAATCGTGGCAATAAAGCGAAAATCGTTAGCGGATATTACCCGCCACAGTAACCTGTCCATTAGGTAATAAATAAACACGGCAGAGCGAAGAGTTCGGCCGTGTAAACGCCGATCCACCCAATTCCCAACAAAGCGGATGGCGGCGCAAGGTAGCGGGCGAAAAAACGCCGCATCACAGTTAAACCATTTACGAAATATCGACAACAATAAATTATTGCCCCGCGGCGACGTGAGGACTTTAAAAAATTTCGGTTATTAATATTTGCTTTCTTTGTCCCGCACCACGTGTCCCCACACCTGAACGCTGCGAATGACGCGGGCCGAAAAAAATCGCAAAAAATTCCCGGGGCTAGGCGAAAAAGAGCAGAGGCGCAAACAGACAACAGCCAGTTTGAATGATTGCTTCCCTGGAAGAGCGGCAAGTCCATTTTTCACAAGTGCCATTCACCGCTTTCATGTTGCGTAGGTACTGTTGTACATTATGTATATTTATATATATATTTTTATTTATCGCACCACCCCACCGCCCGCGCGGCCCTCGGCCAAATTGATATTCGCCGAACGCGAATTCACGGCGTCCAATTCCTCACTGTTTTATTCATTTAGTGATTTCGCGATGGTAAACACGCAGGTGGATGTGTTTAATTTCGAAATGAAATGTTTATTGCCGAGTTTCCGTTTTGTTTCCAATTACGATGTGCCGGTGTTTGTTGTGCACGGCCGTGCACGTTTTCGCCTATGTGCTGTCTAGTTCATTTGTTTTTAATTTTTAACTATAATAGTTCGCATAATAAACAGTTCGTCGTTACTGGAATAGAGATGCATCTATCTATTATTTGATCGCCGTTTGTATTGATAGAGTTTAATACAGATGGAAATACCTGTAGAATAATACATCATTTGCAATTAAAACGTTTCTCCGTTACGATTCATCGAATATTTATTCATTCAGACGTACGTTTTCAGTAAAATACGAAGAGAAAGCTTGTGATAATTATAATCTGTCTAGAAATATCTTATGGAAAGTTGTAAAACATGAATATTCAGGAATATAAATAGTAGGTAGGTACAGCTAAAGGGAGCAAAAATTTTGTGATTACGAGAATTAACAATACACTCAGTACAGACTAGCTATTACGATGTTATTTATACTCGCGAAGAAAACACCTTTAATTAGGCAGTGATTTTTCTTGCTTCTATGACTTGGAAATTCTACGTAAATAATGACAGCTTCTGTTATATTTATTGCTGTTGCAATGTAATACTAAATTGTAATGTTAATTAATCAAAGAAAAAAAACCGGTTAAGTGCGAGGCGAACTCGTGCGGTTCCGTACCTACCCATTACACCGCCATAATGGAGTTGGTAAATAATCATCACCGATTTTCTCAGGAACGGGTGGAACTAGCCAGTGCAAATTCAGGAACTTTTAAGGTACGGAACCCTAAAAATATAAGATTTCCCGTGGTAACTACAAGTTAAAATTAATAATGTTCACAAATAACGTCACCCAGCTAGACAGTTAATCGATTAAACATAACCACCGTAACTCCCACTGTATGATGTGTAACGGAGTAAAAAGTACATCCCCACTGTACAACGTTGGTCAGGCCATTTAAAGAATAGTCATATTAAATAAAACAGAACGGACAGTTTTTAAGTGATTGCAAATTGATAACTAAATTTTTACCTTAATTTTCTAATAAAATGCAATAAGCAGTTTCTTTGGATATTAAATTATCTAACTTAAAATTGATTTAAGCGTATCAAATTCAGTATTTTTATAAAGCGATCATCACTTACGTTACGGTGTACTCTCAGAGGTTTTACGGAATTAGGTAAGATATTACTGTCGGTTTATTATTTAATCACTTCCCTAAGCAAGCCTGGGGTCACAAAAGCACGTCGTCATCGGATGGCAATTTGAATGCGGCCGCTTAGCCGTGTGACGGCCGCTATGACTGATGAGGGAAGGGTGAAGATGGCATGATCACAGCCTGTCATCCGCCCCGTGTATAATTTTACATGTCGCCTTAGTGGCGATGCGTTTCCCATTTTAGATGGGAGGTTTGAGGTTGATTAATATTCTGCCAGTAAATATAATACACTTGTTTTTTTATCAATACTCCATGATACAGATGTAATGGACTTATAACATGAAGAGGCGTTGAGAACATTGATAAATTCGTAGCAGAGGATTTGGTGGTTGCTATGGTCACAAAAGCGGCTAAACTTTGTCTGTTAATTTTTTTTTATTTTTTCCTTCTTTTTTACAAAGCATGCTTTTCATACTTATTACCGATTAAGTTAGTCATAATTCCGAAAGAATTGGTGAATAACTCCCATGAAAAATCATATGTATAGAAAACGTTCAACATTCCAGTTACCAAGACCGTGAGATCTTTAATATATTGAAATTCAGCTTTATTGTATTCAGTCATTGAACTCAAAAAAGTTGCATAACATCACTGGAACCAGTTCAAAGTATCAGGCAATATATTTGGTGGTAATTCTATATTGGTGAAGTGGTATCGGCCACTTTTTAAAAGCGATAGTTCGTTTCGTTAAATATTTTAACCTACGCCAGCTGGAGCCTAAAAGACTTGATATAAGTATATACATCAAACTATTCCTATTTTCCATACATTATACAACAATCACCGCCGACAAAAGAAACCCGAAAGAGACATTTTTCGATTCGCACGCAGCGTGACACGTCCGGGCTTCACAAAAATCACACAGTCGGCCCCGTGCAATCACCGACCACGTCCGAGCGGAATCGTCGCGAATCAAAGATTTGCCTCAAATATATGGCACGGGAATTCGGAGGCTTAACGTTGCATCGGCAATGAGCCGTGGCGTCGGGCGTCGACAATCGGGTGCAGGCCGTTTGCGGCGACGCCAATTCCCATTCATTCACGGCCCATTGGTGGCGTCGGCGTCGCCCGCTGCCCGACGCCTAATGTATTCCTTGCGTAATTCCAATTCTGTACTGGGCTGTTCCAATTCCAAAGAGGTGGTCACGTTTCGACATTCACCTTCTTGTATGTGCCGCCGCGAATGAATGTATCAATATACTTAATTGCACACCAGAATAAAATTAACAAGAACCAAGAAATTAATGTAAAAATGATGACTACAATGGGTTGCCTTATTAGTGAAAGTAATTTCTTCCAGGTAACCTTTGAATGGACTAAAAACAAATTAATTTTGGAGTAAGGATGTGTTATTTTAATGAAGGAAATAAATAACTTAGGAAGCAAAGCCGTGTTTGCTTATTGAAAATTTGAGTGGGTATATTTTTTAATTTTTAAGATCTGATGGCTAACCACCAAATGGTTCAACTCGCGGTGGCAACCTTCCAGAAAGCGGGCTTCCCCGTTCACGCTAAACGATCGACTAATCGATATTATACAAAAAAAATGTCTATAATATGTTACTAATTGATACAAAAATGTGTGTTTGTATTTTTTCACGGCCGTATCGTTATCAGATGAATGAGTTCTTAAACAGTATTAATCTTATATGAGTATTTAAAGGACATGACATACATATAGGATGATTTTTATAAGGAAAAATGAATATTATCGGTAAAAATATAAGAGAGAAATTGGGGGATAAATTAGTATGATGATAACACAAGAAGAACGTCTTAATGAAGTACGTACTAATGGGGACAGCTTAAGAAAGTTTCTTAATTTCACTCTATAAAAAATATAAAACGAAATTCAAGATGACTAACATGACTGAAGTGGATTCGTGAAAAGAGTTCACCGTTGTGCTCCAGTTTTGCTTCTGCGAAAACTTGGTCATAGGTAACTGTGTCATTTATGTATGAGTATGCATTTGTACCACTTTTTTCTTAAATTTAAAATAGTAATGTATGTAGCGTATAATCAATAATATTATAATCATTCATATGACAATCATCAATATAAATATATAGTATATCACCTATAATTAGTATAAAATGTGAATAAAATGTTATTTTTTCCAACGACTATATCGTCCCAGTCAAAGCTAGCATTTCAATAACGAGTAGTTAGTCTTATTAAGAAATGCGTCCATGTATATAAATGACTCCGTGACGCAGTTGCTAAACTATTGGTTTTGATGTTGGAGGCCAATGAGTTGGATTCCCATAGCTATATTTGACGACATTGACGACATCATAAGAGTCTCGGGAAACCGGTAGATGCAAATTCGAACATTGTTCAATTTTAATTAAGAAATACGAAAACTTATTAAAAAAACTTCTAAACTG